CCCACGAAGGGCCTAAGACTGCCCCCTGCCTGCTCAGCCCCAGATGTTCAAGACCTGTCTCTTCCTAGAGACACCCCACTGTGGCCCCCCCAGGCCTGGCCAGCCAGCTCCACTCAGCATGTTAGTCCAAGCCCTTATCTGTAGATGTGCACATGTGACTTCACATATAACACCCAACTTGGCTTCATCTGATGCATTTGGGGCGCACTTCTCTCATGAGACTGAAAGTAAGCACTGTTTCCCCATCAAGCCTGATGTCCCTGAAATGGAGGCTGGTCTCCCGCTTTGCTCCTATCCCGGTGCCCCCGCTCCCCCATCACCCCCGGCTCCACAGGCCCAGCCTCTCTCACATCAAGCTCGAAGGTCTGCAGCACAGTGCGGTAGCCACCGGAAATGGGCGTGAACAGGCGCATGACTTCCTTGATGACGCAGTCCAGGTAGCGCAGCCCGCTGAGCATGTCCAGGCGCAGTGTGCCCTCACAGGGGCAGCCACCGCTGTGCAGGATGCCATGAGCCCGCAGCTCCTCCCGCAGCTTCTCCAGCACCGTGGGGTGCTTCAGCAGCTGCATGATGAGTGAGGTGCTGGCGCTGGCCGTGGTGGCATAGGCCGCAAAGATCAGCTCCAGGGTCCCGTCCTGCAGGGCACAGAGGAGAGGCGTTGTTGGAGGTATGGGTTCAGCCAGGCAGGGGCTACCCCATTCGGCCAGCGGCCCGTGTGCCCAGGTCATCTGTGCTGGGCCCTGCATGGTTCCTGCAGTGAATTCTGCTTCCTCTGAGTCTCATGTTGCCAGAGCACTAGTGTCACGATGGACACGGGGGTCACAGCCAGTCCGTGGCTGGGCAGAAGACACAACTGCTGTGACCCAGGGCAGAAGCCTCCAGTCCCTTGGAGTGGGGCCACTTCTCACTCACTGCTGGGTTCCTGGACCAGCCCCACAGGCCTGATATGCAATGGGCTCACAGGAGAAAAACAACAAATCCCAAGGAGCAAGGCCCTGCGCAGCGGGTGTGCATGTGCGTGTGTGGGGGATGTGGTCTAAACCCGGGCCTTCCCACTAGCAGCGCCAGCCCCTTCCTCCATCGCAGGAGGAGGACATTCGGTGGGTAGTCAGGGGAGCCAATGGGGTCTGAGAGGCAGCCTGGGGCCACAGCCTGGGGCCACTCCCCTGGAGACCTGGGATGAGGCTGAGGGGAGGTGACCTCCTGAGGACCTAAAGAGCCTGCCAGGGCTCTCTGGAGAGCAGGACACCAGGGCCATGGGCTCCCCATAGAAAGGCCCCAGCAGGTCATCTCATAGCAAGCCCTGCATTTTACAAATGTGAACTCTGGGCCCAAAGAGGGGAATGAAGGGACCTGGGTCCATTACTGGCCATGGCAACACCCACAAATCACAAAGCTTGTTATAGTGGAAAAGCCACTCTGGCTCTTCCTAGCTCCCCAGGAAAGAAGCTGGCGCTAGAATACGGGGAGGCAAAGATAGCGGGCAGGGGAGGCTGCAGTGAGTGTACGTGGGGACCCGGCAGCGGAGTGGGCCTGCAGAGCCCAGGTGGGGATGGGCGAGTGAGCCCTCCTCCGGTGAAACATCTGTCCAAAGCAGGGCAAGCAGGCCCTGTGCGGAGCACAGCCGGGATCACCAGGGGCCAGGGGGCTGGGAGGGCATGCAAAGTGCCAGCAACCTGAAAAGGCTGGGGGTAGGGGAGGAGACCTCGCATCCAAATCTCCCCTGATCTTCCCCAAGGGCTGAGGCTGATGATAAGCAAGTGGCTTCCCCTTGTGGGCCTGCATTTCCCTAGATGGCCTCCCAAGGATATTGGGACTAGGAAATGAACCAAGATCATTCCCAGGCCTGAGCTCCCTGTAGGCCATGGGGAGAGAAGGGAGGGCACCCATGGCATCCTGCAGAGCAGGGGCGGGGACACAGACTTCGCTTCTGGTTTCGCGGTCTCCAGCCACTGCTCAGAAAGCGTGTGTGGGGCCGGACTACAGGGGCTAGAAAGGGCAAGGCACATTTCCACCCAAGGAAAGCTCAGAACGGAGCCTGGGTGCTGGTGCTGCCAGCGAGGGGCGCACGCCCACCCCACCTTCAGCTCCTGCATGGTCATCTCCTTTCCGTGCTCCTTGCTGCTCTCAATGAGGAGGTCCAGGGCGTCCGAGTAGTCCTTGCCCTGTGTGCACTGCAGCTTCTCCCGGATGGCCTTCTCCAGCCCCTTCTGCAGGATCTGCCGAGCCTGAATGCCCTGCAGGGGGAAGGGCTGTCACTCATATAGAAGGGCAGGCTCCCATCCGAGCCTTGGGACCACCAGGGATGACTCCAGCCTCCTCCTACCCCACGCTGACACCTCTCCCGTTTGTCCATGTACCCTGTGCCTAGGTGTCCACTCAGGGGTCAGGTCAGCCACCCATCCCCAGAGAGGGGGCTCATGGATGCTCCTGCTAATCTCCTCCCAGGCCCTGGGTGCTCACCCGCCGATAGCCACTGAAGGGCAGGTCAACAGGCAGGGAGAAGACATTCTCCACAAACTGCTGGTAGACCTCAAATAGGTGCCCAAGGTCCTCCTCGGGGATGCTGAAGCCCAGCAGCACCCGGATGGCCATGCGGAAGGTCAGCTTCTGCGCCTCCTGGTACACGTTGATGGCCTCGGGGTGGCTGCTCCAGGCACGCAGTGTGTCCTGGATCACCAGCTGGATCTTGGGCAGGTAACTCTCCAGGGCCTCGTGGCTGAAGATCTTGGAGAAGACCTGGAAGGCAGAGAGGCAGGTGGGTGAGCTGATTGGCACAGCCCGCCCCTGGTCAGCCCCTCACTCTGCCTGAAGGATGAATGTGGCCAAAGAGAACTTCAGCTTCCACACAATCACAAAGCTTTGGGAGCTGGGCAGGCCAGCTGTCAGCAAGTCTTCGAGGGATGTGGCTTGCGTGGGGCACAAGTGGCAGCTGAGCGGGGAACCACCCTTCCATTGCAGAAGCCCATTTCGGAATCCCGGGACACAGGATGGAAGTGCCCGGGAGAAGTGGAGCACAGTCGTTGGACTGTACAGGAAAGTAGGGGAAGGCCATTGGGGGATAGCTACTCCATGGGGGACAGCAAGAGAGCCTGAGACTAGACCTCAAGCAGGACTTCCTGGGAACCAAAATTGTCATCACTTGCTGGAAAACACCTACTGGGTGCAGATTCTAGTAAGTTTATTAACAGCTGTGCCATGAAAAGGTCTTCAGTGTGGCCAGGTCCAAAAGCAGCGGGGGAATGGGGACAATGGCTTTCCACCCCCAAATATCATAAAGACAACCAGAAGCCCTGTGACTTCCCTGCATCTTCCAGGGCCACTGTAAGGAGGCAGTGAGTCCTGTTCCCACCTCCCCGTCTTCTGTCCTCCCGGCTGCCTGCGCAGCCCCCCTTGCTGCCCTCCTCACCCAGGACTCCCCCGCACATGTTTTCATGTGTGGAGGAGACGGGAGCACGTTAGTTTATTTACCGATAGCCTGTGGGTCTCGCTCATAAGCAGCAACCTCCATCCCACCAGAGTTCAGATGAGAAGGGGGAGCACCCCCGCTACCAGCACCAAGCAAAGGCTGGGAGGGGAGGGACAGTGCAGAAGAGGGAGCCCCCCACCCCACCCCATGCAAACCACACACACGCGCCGCCCTCCCCAACTGCCCCCCAAACACAACCACCGCACAAACTGTAAATGTGAGAATTTCCCCTGCAGTCAGCTCAGGGAGGAAAGGTAACATTTTCCTGGCCTGGGCCCTGCATGGCTAATGGGAGGGCTGGTTTGCAGAAATAACAGTGCTGGCCCTTCAGTGGCCCAGCCAGGCGTTCACAATAGCACTTTCATTCCGAAATTCCCGGTGGAGGGAGGGAGGGAGGGCAGGAGGCCGGCGAGGGGCAGAGAGGCCTGCACTGTTTGGGGCCGCTCCTGCTACAGAGGAACAGCAGAGAGGTAGAAGGATGATAGGAGGTCACCTAGATCAGCCCAAATCCAGATGGGTCATTCACACCTTGCCCAGTGTTGGGGGTCTGAGGGAATTTCCAGGGGACTCTAACTGCTGCCTCCCTTCAGAGAGTGATGGATAAAGGCAATGCTTGTTTGCTTCAACCCCAACCCTCATGTCCTTAGGATTCTAGGTTCAGCCCTTGGGCAAATGAAGGGTCTTGGGGGAATGAGAAGGGGCACTTCTCCTAAAGCCCAGCACTGGCCAGTGAAGGGCCCCTTACAGACAGCAGAGAGCCACAGGGTGGGCAGACAGCAGCACACAGGAGGGAAAAGTGCATCAGGAAACAAGATGGGGACAGGAAAATCCCTCTGCGGCTACCAGGCCTCCATGGCAGGACAGGGAGGCCAGAGGTGGGACAGGGAGGGCCCAAGAGGTCATACTTGGCCCAGAGCCAGCCAGCCCAGGACAGACTAGGTGTTCTGTCATGGAGGGTGCAGGGTGGGAGCTGACCAGGGCCCCCAGCACATGGGAGACCTGGTCCTCCTGCCTCTCACTCCGTGCCCCGGAGGCCACGTCCACCAGGCCCAGTTGAAGTAGAAACCGGCGGGCTCTAAGATGCGGTGGGGTGACAGGAAAGGGGCTGAGTTGTAGCTGTGCATCATCCAGCAACTTACAGTGTGATCATGGCCAAGTGGCTACCCGCTCCCCCAAGCCTCAGTTTCCTCATCTGTAGACAGTGAGGTGGAGCCAGGTGGCCTCCCGTCAATCCACTGAGCACCTGAACAGCAGCCCCCACCTGCCCCTAAGTAGATGCTATCCCTTCAAAGCGGCCCAGAACTTGTCAGTGCTCGAATCCCCTGGGGAGTGCCTTCCAGCCCCCACGCACACACCCCATGTGGGCTACAGTGGCCCAGGAGGGGCCATCCCAGGGTTTAAAAAGGGGGAGCACGGAGGGCCCACACTTCACCCACAGACAAGCCCTGCCTTGCCCCGTGGGCTCCGTTTCCTGCGCCCTCTAGCGATGGCTTGTTGAACTGCTCCTTCCCAGGCCTTGGGGGCCCTGGAGGGCAGGCAGGGATAGTCTAGGAAGAGAGAAGGGCCCAGGGACTGACCGAAGGACTCCAAGGGCAGGGGTCCACACCTGACCCCTGGGGGGAAGGGGTCCATGGGCAAGGCCAGGAGCTAGAATGAGCCAGAAAAACCACTGCCACCCGGCACCTGCAGGCCCCTGGGGTTGGGGCTTCTAAAAGGAAAGTGAAGGCAGGACCAGGACACTCTCGGCCAGTGTCTGACTGGCTGAGTGACAGCCAGCAGGCCGCTGCCCCTCCTGGAGCTGTTTCTCCGCTGGGTTCACAAAAGGCCTGACTGGCCGTTCTGAGGGCCTTTCCGCCAGGCTGTCCATGACGCTCCTCAGAGCTCACCGTGAGGTAGAGAAATCCCCCAAATGAGAAGCCCAGCAAAGGTGGGTGAAGGGCACACTGGCCCCGAGCTGGGCTCAGAGGTCACCAGGTCCATGCCCCTGCCTCTGGCCCAGCTGCTCCACAGGCATAGGGGCCTCCCAGGCCCTAGGAAGCCTCCAGGGCCTCATCCCTGGGTCTGTGCCCAGATGTAACAACGCAGGCACTTCCCGAAGCCAGGGCAGCTCTGAAACCACCACCCGCCACAAAGGACGGGTGGAGGCAGAGGCGCAGGCTGGGGCAGAGGGCGGTCAGGGCTGCGTCAGGGCGCGCTGGGTCTCAGGCCACCGCCTGCTGGGGTCAGGGCTCGGGCATACTGGGAAGGTGCCCGGGAGCGGCTCCCTGTGAAGAAACGAAGGGTTCCCGGCCCGGAGCTACTTCCCTGACCACAGGCATAGCAGGAGCCACGGCTGCTTTGTTTCCTTCTGGGGCTTCCCTCGGAATTCCCAAAAGTCAGCCAAGAATGCCGGACAAAGGTCACTGGGAGCCAGCCCAGGCCCAGGACAAGCCCTGCAGAGGGAGTGGCAGGTATGGACTCCCCACCAGGGTTGGTGCCGGGGAGAGAGCAAGGGTACTGTCACAGGAGACCAGGAGCGCCCATCCAGGTTTACCTGCTGCAGCCTCAGAGGCTTGGGCAGGAGGGAGGAGGGCAGTCGCCTTGAGGGATGGCTTTGGGCAACTCCCCTGCCAAGCCCCCAAGGACACAATAGGCTCAGGAGTCCACCCCTTGGTTCTCTCCCTCCCTCCGGAGTGGGAGCTGGTCCCACAAGGGTCTAGGGGCACCAGCAGGGGCTCGTGAAGGCTCAAATTCCCTATCATTGTTTCTACAAATGCATTCTCCCCAAGCAGGCCTCCTCACCCCTCCTGCCTCTCACCCTGTGCCCTGGGAGGGGAGTCGCTTTGTGAACCCCCATGGCCCTATGGGCCGCGCTTGCTCAGCCAGATAGCCTCCCCCTTCTCTGCTGGCAGGTGTGGACAGATGGACAAATGGATGGGCAGCAGGAGCGGGTAGAGCTGGAGCGGGGACCCACTGCCCAGGCCAGTGACTCAGACTGGGAGGAATGGAAGCGGCTGCCCAGGAGGGGTGGGGGCCTGGGCAGGCCACCCGGCCAAGCCACCGGAGCCTCAGCCTGCGGAGTGGAAAGAATAACAGAGGGCAGGCAGGCGCTGAGGCAGCCGTCCGCACAGGGTGACGCCAAGGTGTGTACTTTATATTCAAGCAAGGGGGGTAAGAGAGGACGTCATCTTCCCAGCTGCCTGGCTGCCTCAGCTTCACCCTGGCCCAGTGGAAATGCCAGGCAGCTTCACCCAGAACTGGAAATGTCCAATCCGGGCCTGTGGGGCTGGGCACGCTCAGCCCCTCTGGTTACTGGGAGGCTGGCCCAGACCCCCAACAGGCTCCAGCGGTTAGAGCAGAGCGCCTGCCCCTGATTTGACTCCAGCTGTGATCATCTCACCTGGAGACATGCTCCCCACTGCCCTAACTCTTCCACACATACCTACAGCACAAGGGGGGCAAGGTGGGGAGGGGCGGGCAGCACTTGGCAGACACCTGCCAAGCCACAGAATCTGAGATTTGCCCGGCCGCTCTTACCTCTCCCGCTTCCAGCCGCCACGAACCCCACCTTAGAAAGCCGTGGATGGGGAGGGGCCTCCCAAGGTCACAGTCCAGAGTGTGGCTGGCCACACCCACCAGAGGCCCTGAACTCCCTGCCTCCCACCACTCCAGACTCCATAGAGCTGCCCTCTGCCAGCCCTGGTAGGCTCTGAATTTATCCAAGGGTCCTGAAGGGGACTGTCCTCTACAGTGAAGTCCACTCTCAGGGTGAGGCCAGCTGTCCCTGCCACTTTGGTGTGATCCTGGCATGTCTCAGAGCCCCGCAGTTGCTTCCTTTTAGGCTTAGGGAACCCAGGACAGATACAGCAGCCAGCCTGGGGGGCCCAGGGCCAGGGCAGACCCCACCAAACCTTCCCACTCCCCACCAAGGCCACCTTCATCTTCCAAGGCTGGGAGAGTGAGCAAACACATCAGTACCACAGCCTTGGACCCCTCCCCGTCTTGGGAGAAGGACACAGAAAGAAGGGACAGAGGGAAGGGCTGGCCCCCGCATCCACGCCGCCCACCCACCTGCTGCCTGGCACAAGGGCATGCAGAGGGAGTTTCCCACTCCCAGGCGTCCTGGCAGCTGACTGTGGGCTCCCTCCCCCACTGACCTTCAGATAGATCCGCTGCTGCTACCCGTCCCCTCAGCAGCCCCTGTGCCCACCCACTGGTGCTACAGTAACTTTTGGGCGAAGGACTTGTGTTGGCAGAACAAAGGCGTTGTGCCTATGCCAAGGGGCTGGGGCAGAGCTCCCAGCAGCAGAGCTGCCTGGCTGTGCCACTGGCCTTCCATCCAACACAGGTTGGACCTTCTGCCCTGAGCTGAGCCTGGTGGACATGACTGTGTGGCCAGAGGTTGTGCCTTGGTCCAAAGGCCTCCTAGAGCCAGGTGTGGGCTAGCCTTCCCTGGGACCCCATAACCATGGGTCCTCCTGGCACCGTCCTCCTGCTGAGGCACCTCCTGGCCTCTCCATCCCAACACAGACCCCAGGAGCACAAGGTTTCCAAGATGGGGCCAAAGTCAGGGATGGTGGATGGACAGGCAGGGTTTCTTGACTTCTACCTCCAAAGCCTAGTCCCCCACCTTGGCTTCAGGCCCAGAAGGCCCTGTAGGCAGGGATCTGGGTAGAAGGGGCAAGACTACCACTCCTGAGGTCTCCCCAGTTCAGAGGCTCCAAGGCTAAGTCCCTCCCCTGAAATACTCTCCAAGTTCCCTGAGGGTATCTCCAGGCCACTGTCTGGGGTGTCCTGAAGCTGCTGGCCTCTTGGTGCAGAGAGGTCCAGTCCTATCTCCAAAGAAGAAGAGGAGAGGCCCAATCCTGGTGGGTAGGACTGGGCATAGGAAGCTTCTAGAACGATTCCCTAGCTCCTTCTCCATGTTTTGGACAACTGTCTCACCCCCACCTTCCTAACCAGACTCCATCTGTCCTTCTACAGCAATACTCCAGCCTCTCTACACACGAAGAGGGATGGGGTACCTCCCCCATCCATCAGATACACCCCAGACCCTGGGCAGGGGAAGGGTAACCCAGGAGGAGGGAGGGAGTCTGAAGCCCTGGCTGCAAGGACACAGGCCTGGCTTCCAGAGATGATTCTGTTAGACTGGGCAAGACTTTCTGGACTTTTTCCCTGGCAACCCCACCCCTGCTGGCCCAAGACCACCAGGGCAGCCAGGGCAAACACCTGGAGCACAGTGATGGCAGTGAGAAGCCCCCTCCAACACATCTGGTCAGACCTCCCAGAGGCAGGGTGGGCCACCAGCCCCAATGGAAACAGTGACGCTCCAGTTCCCCACCAGCCGGGCCCCAGCACACCTGGGCCCCACTTCCCGCTCCTACCTCCTAACCAGGCCAGTCCTGGCCCAGCAGCCCACACTGTAGCCAGGCCCCTAACTGCAGCATGGACCAGATAAAGAGGTGTGTGCGACACACAGCAGCCCCCACCTTGGCCACACTCAGTCCACCAGGCCTTGGGTTCAGCAGATGAGCAGTTCTCTCCAGGACCAACATGGATATTTAGAAACAGTGGCCCTGAGTGTCCTCCTGGCTTCCAGCTAGATTCTACCTACCCAGCCCCAGGACTTCCGTGGAGTTTAGTAAACTTAAATCATCAGTTAGGGAGATTTGGGGGGAAGAATCCTTTCATCTGGCTGACTACCCATTTCTCATTCGACCCTCCCTGCCAACATGCCTCACATGGCAAGCATAAAACTGCTACACACAAAGAGGGGGCCCTGCATTTGGCTCTCAGGCCCCTGGCAGGATGAACCAGCTTCTGGTGACTCCCCACTCACCCCCAGGGAGCTAAAGGACTGGCTGTTCTGAATAAGGAACCATCACACCTCAGCCAAGGCTCTCAGTTTCTGCCCTAACCCCAGTCCCAGCCCTCCTCCTCCCATCCCCCATATTCCTGGTCATCTGCGCCCTCCCTTCCTTCTCCCTCCCCTCTAAATGGACAATGTAGGCCAAAAAACCTTGGGGCTTTCCAGGCAAGCCCTTCCCAGCCAACACCTGGAGGCCCGAGGCCAAGTCAGGCCCAGGGTGGGTGGAACCCCAAGACAACGCCCTCACCCCAAAGCCCTCTGCACCCCACACTCTGGTCCTGGCCACACCTCCTTCCTCACTGTCCACCCCAGCTTCCAGCAGCCCCAGGCAGGCCGGACAGAGGAGGACTCTTCTCCCGGGCCCAGAGACTATTCCCGTGGACGCTGCAGTCCGGTGGTGCAGGCTCTCCCCGAAATTTTCTTTGTCTCCTGACCTGGTTCAAGTCTCGTTCTACCGCTCTACGCTTCAGTGGCCCCTTCCGTGAAAAGGGCACAATAATACCCCTCTGACCAAAGCCTCTGTAAAGCAGCGCTCAGGAAGCAGCCATCTCCTTTGGAGCTGAGTCTCCGCTCTCCTCGCTCTTTGGAATGGGCCTGAGGTGGAGTCGCAAAGGCTGAGGGAAAAATAACTGCCCAACACCTTTGAAAAGCCGAGGCTTCATTCCGAAGCCTCCAGCCCCTCCCAGCCACTCCCCAGAACCCCTCTCCCGCCGCCCCCAGGCTGTGGTAACTGCTTCCAGCTAGGAGTAGGGCAGATGGAAGAAAGGACTTTGGGAGCCCGTTTCCAGTTCCTGAAATACATGCTGTATAAGGGAACGCGGTGGGGGCAGGGATGCAGCCCAGTCTCCTCGGTTTGACCGCTCCTTCTTTTGTCTGCAGTTAAGAATTACCCTTCACAGGCTGTTCAGAGAACTTCAAGTGCTACAGGATGCGTCTGCAAGTAGAGCGCTCCCCATCTTCACCAAGACCACAGCATATGTGGCCCCTGACGGAGGGAGTCCGCCTCCCCACCTCCCGGGTCTGCCACCGCTCCCGGATGGGAAGCTGCCTCTCCTTTTCCTTAGGTTTCAAACCTGGGTGAGTCCTCTGACCCAATGGAAAAAAATGGAGTCGGGGAGGTCGCGCGGCCCCCCTCCTGGCGGCTTCGGGCCAGCCCTCCGGCTCGGCTTTCGGGTTACTGCAGTTCAAACAGCACGTGCTGCCCGCGCTGGTAGCCGAGCTCAGCCGGGAGGGGCGGAGTCCTGCCCCGTGCGCGCCTCCTCCGCGCCTCCTCCAGTCGCTCGGGAAATCCAAGGGATAAACACCCACTTGCCCTTCCTCTTTCGGGGGGGTGGGTGCGCTTTGATCCCCGCTCGTGCCTCGCCTGCTCTCCCCCCGCCCGCCCTGCCCCCATGGCCCAGGCCCGTGCGCTCCGCGGCCCAAGGCTCGCCGCACCTTTCTCTGACCAGGCCCAGCCACCGCAGCCCACAAGCTGTCCCCAACCTCCACGAGCAACCGCCTGCCCGCGCCTCCCTTCAAGCAGCCTGTGGTGGGAAGGGCAGCTTTGATTTTAGAATGATCGCTCTCCAGTCCTCGGAATTCCCTGGGAAACGTGGCGAAAAGGCGAACGCCGGCCAACTGTCCCGCCCCCTTCCTTTTCCAGCTCTGAGGAGCAAGGCAAGGACGGGCTTTGGACACCCCAGATCCCGCATGCTCAAGCTCTTCCAAGCCACCGTTGGTGGTGCCCACGGCAGTCGGCCAGCATGATAAGGGACCAAGAGGAGGGAGGCCGGAGCAGGCCCTGGATCCGGACTCGAGGCCTTGTCGGCGGTGAACTGCGGTGTCTTCAAGCATGGTGTGCAAAGGGGGGCACAGATTCGGTAGGGGAACATTCCCCAGGCTCCAGGAACTCCTTGCCCCGAGGTGAGGGGAGGGAGTGCACGGAAGAAAGAGGACAGAGTTCTTACCTTGCGCTTGTTGCGGTGGATGTCGCCAATGGAATTGGACACCGTGTTGGGGCCCAGCAACATGCGCGTGCTGCGAGGCCACTCGGTGCTCACGAGGTGGTGCTCGCCCATGAGGATCTTGCGCACGTTCTCCGCGCCGGTCACGCGTATCAGCGGCCGCCCCAACAAGTGCGTCTTGAACACGTTGCCATACTTCTCCCTCCGCGACGACTGGAAGCCAGAACCCTGCGGGAGCCACACCGGGGTCTCTCTCAGGGTGCACTTCTGCAGAAGGCCCGCGAGGGGGGGTGGCGGACCCCAACGCGGGGCACAGTCACCTGCCCCCTTCCCCACCAAACACACACTCACACAGACAAGCACGCAGGTTTTATTTTTCATAGCGTGCACAAGAACTGGGAAGTAGGGCCTAGAGGATAATAAATAATGCAAGGAGGCGGAGGCCCAGGGGCACCCCCAGGAGGCTGTTTTTTAGTAATGACTTTCGAGAGGAAAGAGGTATCACGGACAGCTGGACCCGAAGCGGGAGTCTCCGCCTCCAACCCCCCCCCTCCCCCGCGCTCGGGAGCCTCTCGGAATAAATATTTCCAGGCTCCGGGCCACGGGCTGGCGAGACCCCGCGGGGTGGCCGCAGGCCAAAGATTATTTATAGCGGTAAGCGGTCGGTGCCCGAAGGCAGCAACTACAGATGGGGGTTGGAGTTTCCTCCGCTGTCCGGTGTGGCCCGCGCAGGGACCCGGCGGCCCTCGGAGGACTCTGCAGGGCGGGGTCACGGGCCGAGAGCCGCGATTTTCCTAATGCATTTTGACCTGGAAATAACGGACACCGACTTTGGTTGCCGCCCTGGAGTTTGGAACCCGAGCGCGGGGCGGGGCGGGACCGGGCAGGGCGACCCGCGCAGGTAACCAGATCCCCGGCTGTGGCGGCGCGAGCCGAGGATGGCGGGGCCGGGGCCCTGCCGGGCTCTCGAAACGGCTGGCGGAGCCGGCCCGGCGCGGGTACCGGAAACCGTGGAGACCTCAGAGGGGCGGGAGCAGGGGCGTCCCGCTCACCTTTGACGTCGGCACTAGTTACCCCACCCCACGTTAACCCTTCTCCTGCCGGGGCAGCACCGGGCGAAAAGGGGAGGGGCGCCACCTGTCTAGCCGCCCCGCCTGCCAGTCCACCGGCGTACAGACTCGGGCTCCAGATCTACCTGGTCCTGCAACCCCGAGGGGACAACTCAGTCTCCCTATCCCGGGTTGGTCCCCCTCCTCACTTTTCTTTTTTCCACAGAAAACTATTCTCCAGCTAAATGTGCACACACCCCAGTACAGCCGAAAAGTGACTCTGCAGAACCCGGAGCCCTAATCACTTTTCCACATGCGCCTCCGGCCCCGGCGCGCGACGGGGAACGAGCCGGGAGCGCCGGCGCAGCCAGGAGGGGGGCTGGGCCGCGAGAACGCTGTCCCCCTTCCAGGCTGGAGGACGGGGAGAGTTCCCCCCACCGTGCAGCCCTTCTAGACGGCGTCTACCCCTTTAAGAAAAATCTAGGCGGAGGTGGGGTGCGACAGAGCGGGTGGTGAGGCGAGGGGTTCCCTCCCTCGGTCTGCTATACCCCTCTCCCTCGCTCCGTCTCACTCTCCGTCTTTCCTCTCCTCCTTTTCCTCTGTTTTTCTTTTCTTTCAACACAAAAGTTGGGTTGTGAATTTTCCGAGGTCGCCGCCGCCTCGCCCCCACCCCCTGCCTCTGATCTGCCTAACTATAATTAAAGTGCGTTTTTTGTGGCATTAATAAAGAGTTATTTGTCTGCCGTTTCCACGGTCTTCACAAAGAGGACTTTCATAGGGGCGGCCGCTCGGGCCGCGAGTCCAATTTATACAAAAATGTTGTATTTTTAGCCCTGGGCTCTGTTTAGATGGCGCTCGGTGGAAACGGAGAGCCCTTGGAGGTCCCCCCGTAAAATCTGATAAATGACTCCGAAAAAATAACGCTGGGATTCAGAGGGCTCTTATTAACCCCTTAGGCGCTCTGTACACGTACCCCCTATTTCCCTCCCCCACGCCAGATCTAGGGCCCCGGGTTGGAGGGATGGGGAGGCGTAGGTTTCCTCCTCCCTAACTTCTGTGCAGGTTGGACGCAGACCCCCAGGGGCTTTTGTGGGATTCGGAGAAAAGGTCATGGGAACCTGAGGGGGGCAGAGAGAGGTAAGGAAACGAAGTGGGGGTGGCTGGTGACAGACCGTGGATTCAGCAGACAGGCTCTAAAAGGCGGGAGCCGTTGCCCAAGTTATTTTATTTCCTAAATTCGCGGCCCAGAGCCTAGAGCACCGCTGCAGTTGACCCTTTAAGTGTGGTGGCGAGGGAAAGGCTCTGGGGATTTCTTTGCGGGGGTGGGGGGGATACTTCCATTGGTTGAAGGGACCCCCACCTCATTGCACTAACAACCGCAAAAAGAGATGGGCCAAATCCGGGACGTGGAAAGACCACAGGGCAGAGGAACTTCGAGCCCCCTCCCCGCCCCCGCTCCGCTGTCACTCCACCCGGGGCAGGGTGAGTGCGTGTGTGCGCGCGCGCGCGAGCGCGCGGATTGCACGCGTCTGTTAATTTCAAGCCAAGCTTTCGCACCTCTAAACCCACAGGTCCCAGCGCTCACCTTTCGCTTCACCTCTCTGGTGCGGGGATTGTCAGTTTCAGGACATCCCTGCTTCCGCTAACAGAACAAACGCGAGTATGCACAAATACACCTCCTGCAGTTACTGCAGAGGCGCTCCCATACCCCAAGAAGAAAACTGGTGTGTATCACATTGCAAAAGCGATTGTCTACCACTTGATGAGGTTAACTCTAGGTTAATCTCCCCATTACCTACCTGGGTCTGGTCCCTGACTCGCCCCACCCCCATTATCACCAGCAGAGTGGGGTTGTGCGGCATCCAACAAGCACACACGCACTCTCTCTATGGATCCCACACTCACCTCTCCCAAGTTTCCCTCTCCTGCCAAACTGTCCCCACCCAATAAGTAAATAGACCCTTTTCCCCGAAAGCCTAGAGCCCTGGCTTCTCAGGCTTCTCATTTTTCTTTGGGTTACCTTCTTCCTCTTCCACCACAAAACAGACACACCAGCGCGGACCGCGGACCAGGGCAACCGTACCTGGCGCGGCCGACGGCGCCGCCGGAACACAGTTTTAAATTGGCAGTTCAAGTTGCCACCAGCCCCCTCCTCTTCCGACTCAATTTTCGGCTCGCAGCGACACAGCCAACCCCAGAAAGCCGAGGGCGACTGGGGCTTCGAGCACCGAGGGGCGGCGAAAGCGGCTCAGGACCTGAAGCTCCCTCGGGATCGCGCCGCGCTGGGCGCCCCCAGGGCGCTCCTCGCCCCCATGCCAGGCCAGCCGCAACCCAGGCAAGTCCATCTTGGGAGCCCCCTCAGGTCCAGGAACCCCTCTTACCAGCCCCCTGAACCTGCTCAGCGAGCGCCAGTGGTCCCGGAACCGCGCTGCCGGCGGGCTGGGGAAGCCTGGGCTGCTGCAGCAGAGAGGAGGGAAGGGGCGGGGCGGGGACCAGTGCCTTCAGGCTCCCGGCGCCCCCTGGCCGGCCCGCCGCTCCGTCAGCCCAACGCTCGCAGCTAGCGGACCCCGGAGAGCAGCGGAGCGAGCGCGCCCTTACCTGCAGCAGCCAGTGGCCGGTCTCTCCGATGAGCGGGAAGCCCATGGATCCCTTGGGGATGGGCAGCTTGCAGCTCTTGTCGCGAGTGGCGGCCCAGCGCAGCTGCCACAGCTGCTGCGACACGGCCAGCAGCAGCGTCACGGACACCAGGCACGCGGCGAGGGTGGCCAGCGCCGACACCAGCTCCAAGCCCTCAAAGAGCATGTTGGCGGCCGCTCGGGGGATTGGCTGTGCCGGCCGCGGCGGGGGAGGGGAGGGCCAGACGGGAGGGGACCGGAGCGACGGGGGAGGGGAGGCTGCGGCCGGGGGTCCTGGCACCTCCAGCCGAAACAGAGAATGAGGAGGAAGGGGCCGAGGGAAGGGGAATGGAGGCTGCGAGGGGAGCGGAGAGAGGGAGGAAAAAAAATTGCCTAAAAGAAGAGAGGAGACACGAGGCGACTGGGGTGTAACTTTGTTTGTTTGTTTGTTTGTTTGTTCCTTTATAGCGGGCTTAGGGGCTGCTCAAGGGGTGGTGAGATGAAGCCGTGAGTCAAGCTGGTGGGTTTGCTCTCCCCGCTACCATCACACTCGGAAAACTTTGGAAAACTTTGTCCAGAGGGAGCCTCTCTCTCGTAAGCCCCTTTCCCTGCTCGGAAAAAAAGAAGGGGGCAGAGAGCTAGCGGAGAGGAAGTGCAGTCGATTTGTCAAAAGTATTGCAGTATGGCCCCAAAATTCCTAGGTAAAAAAAGAATTTAAAAAAATTCCTGAATCCAAAAATTCCAACGAACCCAGAAACTTTGGGGGCGAGGGAGAAAGCTCCCTAGCCGAGGCGAGTGGAGAGGCCGGAGCCCAAATGTCCCTGGGCTGCCCCGGGCGGCGCGCTCGAGCCCCAGAGCCGCCGCGGCACCCCTGAGGCAGGAGCGGCGGGCGCGGCGGGCGAGGCGGCGAGGCGGGCGCTGCGGCCCGAGCGCGGATGCGGAGCTGGAGGGCCGCTGCCGGGACTGGACGCGGCCGGCGACAGAGCCCCGGGCGGGCGATGGGGCGGCGGCGGCGGCGGCGGCGGCGACGGCAGCGGGCGGGAGGGGTGAGGCGGGGTGGGGTTGGGGGAGGAGGTGGAAAACCCGAGCTGGGCTATTGTATCAATTAAGAAAAGGCAGTCCGTCCCGGGACGCGGTCTCTCGGCTCTGGAGTTGCTGCTAGGGGAAGAGAGGGGTAAAAAAGAAAGGAAGGCAAAAGGAATGAAAGAGGGGGAAAAACAGGAGGCAGGATTTCAGGGCTGGTGGTTTTAAAAGCTTCTCTCAATGTGAATTTGAGTCCAAAGCGAGGCGATGCGTGTGTTTATATAGAGGCGGGAGGCTGAGCCGTGGGCGCAGCGCCAGCAACCTCCCCCCCAACCCGCGCGCTCACAAAGCCGGAGGCGTGGTGAGAGGCCGGGCCCGCGGCCGGAGCTGTAGAGTGCAGCCCGGCCTCCCGCCCCGCCCCGGCCGCCCGCCGCCCGCAGCCCGCCCGGGACCCACTTGTAGCCGCCGCAGGATCAAACTCAGTTCACCTCTCGCCTCCTCTTCTTTCTCGTCGGCGTCTCGCTGAGCCCAGCGCCTACAGACGGACGAGATGAGACACACGCGCGCGCACCTACGCGCACACACACACACAAACACATACACGCGCGCACACACACACCACACACACCTCCGCACACACACGGTGCGCACTCGCTTAGTGCCTGCTTGGCTTCTAGGCTCCTTCCCTTCCTCTTTTCCTCCTCACGTCAGCGGCCTCCTCCTCCAGCTCCGAGCAGTCCCTCCTGGGCCGGAGCCCCAGCAGCGGAGTTCCTGACCTGACTGCCCCCACGACTGGGAGGCGCCCAAAGCCCTCGAACCTGTGCCTAGGGTCCCGAGCTTCCAACCCGCGGGATCTTGCTGGCTCCTATCTCCAGGGACCCCTCAGTTACTAGTCCCAATCCCCCTAAGCCAAATCCCCCATTCCCGATCCCTACATCCTCACACCTCCGATGCTAAGGTCCGCCCCCCTACCCCCGCCATATGTCTCTTACCCTACGGAACCTGGAGGTTCCCCAGTCCCCGTCAGCGTCCCAGGCTGCTGTCTCTGCAGCCCCTCCTCTCCGGCACATAGGGACACCCTTCCACTGCTTTTGTAGTCCCCATCCACCGCCCGCAGCGTCGGGGAACCCCGATGCTGGTCCAGCAAGTGTCCTGCACGGGGACAAACGCAGCGGCCCTGGTACCCAGAGGCGGGAGAAGACGGGCACAAACGTTCATTGATACAAATTAGTAAATAAACGTGCTGGGTGAGCACGGCCACCTTCTCAGCGCTAGCATAGAGGGCCCGGCGCGCGTGCTTGTGTACGGTGTGCGTGTGGCCCGGGGCCGCACCTGTGTGTTCGCGCGCGTGGCCTTGCGTCGGCCCGAAGTCTGAGGAGCAAGGTGGCATGTCTGTGGTTTGTGTATTCTTTCTAGAGCCGTGAGTGTGTCTGCGCATCCGTGCATCTGTCATCTGGCCTCTCCTCCTGCGAGTCTGTGTTAACGTGGAGCTGCGCACAGCAACCCCGGCACTGGTCTAGCTAGTGCCTGCCTCTCCCTCTCCCATGCATCCTGCTTCCCTCAGTCCCCTTGGCTCTGGCGTTCACTCTTGCACTCCGGGAACCGGAGTCGATATCCCATCTTTCGTTTAGAGTAGTGTGTGTGTTAACGATACTAGACTTCCCTTTGAACACTTTGCCTGCACCCGTACGAGTTATGCATTAGAGTTCACGAGATGAGAATGTGTGTGAGCGTCTAAGGTGCGCGCAGATGTGTTGTCCCTCCCTGGGTGAGCGCAAGAGATCTAAACGCTGGTCTAGCTCCTAGTGCTAGGTCACCTCGGCTTCACTCTCTGCCCTGGAACCCCACCTGGTGGGCAGTTATAGTACTACAGATTCGGGGAAACAATTCCCTCTTCCCCCTTTCCGCACTCGCCCTTCCTAGTGGGAGATAGCTCCAAAAGGCCCAGTTGTAGGTTCCGAAGCACCCCGCGCCTGTGTCAGTGCCCTCAGACTTCCACCCCAGGATGCTTGGGGCCGGACACTCATGAAGGCCCTGTCAGGACCACTGTGGTCCCGAAATAGGGAGCTAGGAAGCATTCTCGGAG